GCATCAGCTAGGCAGTATTTCATATATTAGAGTTTTTTAAAATATGAACACCCTTGTTGATATACGTAGTGATTTTAATCAGTTAAGAGACTATAGCTGACAATCTCTTTTATTAATATTTGTTTATGAAACAGGCATATACAAACTATATTTCTTTTTCTACTCCCAACTTTTTGATACAGCTCTAACGTTTTAGAAAAGGTTGTGTTGGGACTTCAGAGATTCCAACAAAACCTCTGCTGAGTGCTGGGCAAAGCCCCTGACCTTTGGCTCCTTCCCATGCTATGACTATATTTCTGCCACTGTGTGGTTGGTTACCTGCCAAACTATCCTTTTGCCTTTTACTTAAAAAAAAAAAATGCTGCCACTTTTTACTACAAGGGAAAGTTCATGGCCTCTTCCTTTGCTGTTTATCTTTAGAAAGTTATTGCTGCTTCCCACCAAGCAGCATGGAATGGTTGTGGAATATCCTGTTGCTCTATTTTCCAGTAAGGTTCTCAGTTTAATTTAGGTGTGAGAGAGGATTGAATGGAATGTGGGGATACAATTTGTTTGCTAAGATGTGTATTAATTTATGTTAGGGATAGGGATGCATGGAATTGATCAATTGCAATTAATAATCAGTTTATAGCAGTTGGAAGAGTTTGGACTACATTTCCAGGAGCTTCAATTTTAAGTCCCTGCGTTGATATGTAGAAGCAGTTATATTTAACTGGATAATTAAGTATGTATGATATAACTAATTAAAATCAATTAACTGAATCAAAACATTGGAGATGGGAGAATTTTAAGGAATTTTGAGGAGTCAGCCTCCTAGAATGGCAGTCCAAACCCTTGTCTTCAAAAAGGTTGCAATCTTCTCGTGGATAACTTAAGTAATAACCAAAGGGGGAAAAAAAGGTCACACACATTGCTTAGTGCTTACTAAAAGCATTAAAACGTATTCTCTTTGCTTTAGAGGCAGAATATAAACATCTTTCTTACACTTATTTAATATATTGTATTTGTTAGGACTTAATTTCCTTTTGGCTTCATGCCAGGACTTTTTCCCCTTTCAGCATTAGGCTTGTGTCCTGAATCTTGGAAATTCATAGAAACCATACTTCCATAAAATAATACTGATTCTCCCCCCCCCCAATACATTAAGTAAGGCAACCAGTACTGCCTAATGAAATTCATCATCAAGTCACACATGGAAATAAGTTGGCAGAGCTTCTATTGGAATTGTAAGGTCTTTTTCATCAGTGAGGTATCTTGAAAAATCAACATTTTAACCCCTTTTACATAGATTTGGGGATATATTCTTTCTCTGTTTAAATTGTTTTCTGCAGCTATTAACTGCCATAATAATACTATAGAATACAGATAATTGTTTAAGGCTTCCAAGCCCAACCCATTCACCCCTTTTCTGAGTTGCCCAGATCTCTCTTGCTGTTTTATCATCAATGTGCTATTCTTTAAAAAAAATCACTCTAATTCTGTTTAGAAAATTCATGTGTATCTCATTTGCTAGAATTTCAGACTTAAATTGGATCCATATCCAAACAAACATCCAACTGTGGACACCATTTATTATTATTGTATTGCTTGTACATCAGATGGTAAAACTCATCATTCTTAATTGTTTTTAGACAATGAAGTAAAACCTAGCGAGTTCCATTACATTTTCTTTCATGTATTAATATATTCCCTTTTGAATATATTAATACATTTGCTTTTGAAAAGGGGTGAATGGGTTGGGCTTGGAAGCCTTAAACAATGATCTGTATTCTATAGTATTATTATGACAGTTAATTTTTTGGATGAATGGGGATTAATGTCCTATAAGCTTTTTCTTAGTTCAGCAATGGCATTTCAAGCAATTGTTTCATTAATAGCCTTAAAAGAAAAATTCCAAGTCTTGTTTCAACCATTTTTCTTCATAGCATCACAGTCTTCTCCTATTTCTGGGATAGGAAAGGAGAAAGAAATATTAAGCAAAAGGAATTAAAAGCATGAGATAAATCTAGTTTAAACCAACACTATTTGCTGTACCACTCTATATTTCTATCTTGGCAAACTATCCTTGCTTCCACAGCTTCTATACTGTGATTCCTACATTGCCTTTTGTTGCTGAACTCCTAACCACTTTGTTTTTGACAATCTCAAATTCACTTCCATATACTTCTTTTGTACTGATCATTCAGATCTCTATTCAGTCTCAGCTCATTTTTGACTTACATCTTTTTGTTTCATGATGCAATCTTCCTGAGTAACTCATTCCCACTATATTCAACTTACTTCTGTGTTTTTACTGATAAATGCACATAACAAATTGGGCAGATTCAGATTCTTATTTCTAGCTGTTTTTTACAATTTTTTTTGACAACTCTTATTCCCTGTATCAGACCACTTACCACCCCTTACCTTAACATTGCTATTTGCATATTTTAAAATATTGTCGTCCATTTTCCCATCTTTATTGGACATTCTACCAATATACACATATACTTGTAAAAATAAATCCATACATTAGGAAAATGATCACTATTGGGCCATCTGTCAGTATAAAATTCTAACAGGAATGGGCATAGACTTCCTGATGTTACTGTATAATCAATAAGAAGGGTTTCACACCTGCCCAGTGGAAGTATTCAGCAGGATAATTGCAATTTGTGGACCATTTCAGTGCAGATAAGTTTAGTCTGTTGAAGGTTTGCAGCATATGCAGCCCCTTAAAATCTCCAGTTCTATCTTTATCCTCCCTAACAAATAAAGAAGGCACAATCTGTAGATCTGGATGGTATTGGTGGAATGTAGAATGCTCTGCCTTAGTTCAAATGCCATTAGCCTGAGAGCATAGACAGATAGGCAGTATATAAACATTTATCAATAACAAGATCACATTGATAAAATGAATTATGACTGCTTGCACATATTGTTCCAAACATTTAATTTGAAATGATATTAAGATTCAGTGAAATGTGTAAATGTAAGCCCCCATACAATCTACCATGTCCCCAGGCCAGGCACTGCAGCAGAGTTTTGAACCCATCTATATAGATTGTGAGCTTCCCAGGTTTCCTGAAGTAAGAGTATATTGAATTTAGAAATATATTCTATAAATGCAACGACTTTGGATCTCCACCCAGTAATATTCCAAGAGAACAGTGTCAGGGAACAGCCTCAGGCTGAGAGGGAATGAATCTTCTTGGGGGCAATTGTTGGAAGATATGACATTTTTACTGTAGGGCTGGGAGGATTACTTTGGGAGACATCATCCACTCCAGCAATGTTGAAAGCATATTTACTGGGGATCAAATTG